TGATATTGAGTATTAAGCGGCAAGCTCTATAACATTTTCAAATGTGAAGGAAGGTATTTTTGAGAAGCTTATCAAAAGATAAAAAGACAGATCAAAAATATACCTCGTTTGGAGCGCCTATTTTTTAGCCAAAATATTATACAAGCATCTAGTGTGAAATTAGGAATTGTGATCACCATACTGTTGCCGCGGGCATGCCACATGCTGCTAGGAATCAAAATTACGATTTCTCTTTCAAGCGAAGAACCGATAGTTCCTCAGTGATATATCGGTGCTGCATGAAGAATGGCAAAAATCATAAATCCATTTATGAATGAATTTTACACAACGCTTTTTGCGGTGGGCCGTCAGGCGCTGTGGTGGTGAAGGATCGGACCTTAATTGCTTCTTAGCGCAGATAATCACTCGCACAGTTCCTTGTTTCAAATTGACGACGTTTTTCCTTTCTCGGCGGGGGAAGAACATGGGACCAGGGCGACAACAGGGTTCCTCAACGGCACGTCGAGGATTTTCGCCTGATCCTTTACGTTCTCGCGCGCGGATATTCACTCTCGCCACCCGCGAGCCGTCTGTGCTCTCCGCGCGTACATTCACTATCGGCTCTACTCTCGCACAGCAGAGAGCGATGGTCGAGGAATTCCTCGACCGTTATTCACCCTGCATGGGACCTTTAGAGATCACATCCTCTTGAGCTACCATTCCAGAGAGGCTATAACGACGAAACCTCTCGGTACCTCAAATTTCCACATGAAGTAAAAGGACTTACTTTCTTCTACAAGATTGCTCTCCAACTGCGCGAACATTTGCGAAAGAATCTACCGCGGTCCATGTTTGGCAGTTAACAACGATATCGTGTTCCCACCTTTTCGCTCTTTATAAAACTAACCAGGAAAGGTCATTTGGTCAACCCGGCCAATTGAAATGAGATGTATATGTGTATACGCGCCTTGGGACGCTGAGCTCAAATATGTGTTCCTTATCTGCTGAACTCTTCTCTGAAAGGAATTATGAAGCAGAAAAGCGCAGGGGCTGTGGTCGAGGCTCACGAAAAAGAGGTCAGGGGATCAACTCCCTGGCGAGTTTGTTCTTTTGCCGTTTGCAGTAAGATAGCTAGGAAGACTCCTAACATCGCTAGTCCAACATGCTTGCGTATAGTTAACAGTACAAAGAATTTAAGGGCAATTAATAACGAACTTGGGCGGCATCGCTCCTCACTACTTTGGGCGCTTGTAGCGCAGGCGCCAGGCATTTTTGCTTCGAACAAGTATGATATTCGTAATCAGGGAGCCAGACTCTCCCTTTGAGCAAACTTCTAGCGAATTCTGAAATTTTGACCTAACCTCGAAAATTTGGGCAGTCACTTACTCACCGATCCACCAATCCATTACAAAAGGCTGGCACTTGGGTAGAATAAACCTTTTAAACACTTTTCATAATAGACAAAAATTGTGTCTGGCTTGCCCGTCTGCATCATCCAAAGATCTGCAAAGCATTATTTCCTAATACAACACCTTCTCTCCCCTTTCCCCCGTCGTCCATGATTGGTCAACCCAAAAAGTGGAGTTTGAGGAGTGGTAATCCCATCACTGCTCCGCTTTTTCTCAATTAGTTCATGACCTCAGATTTGGCGAAAAACTCGTTTTTAGGGGTAGTTTGATCCCCTGAATACGAATATCGTACCTACTTGCCACGGAAAAGCATAGCACCTGCACTACGGGCACCATGGGCACTCACAGACAAGTAGTGCTTAAATTTAAGAGGGTCTGCTTGCAAACTCTTCGTAGATGTAGCGTCGGGCGACCGTTGATAAAATAACGGATTCAAAAAGGCTTTTCAGCCATGTTGAAAAAAAAGCAAAACACCAAACCCCGTAAGGAACCGAACCCGCGACCCCTGACTTGAGAAGCAAGACCGCTACCAACTGCGCTACCGAAGCTCACTCATGGTGCCTCGGTTCTCCTTTCGATACTTTTATAATGAGCTAACATGTGATTGCAGGCAAGACACTGAAAATCAAGGGCGGCAACAAAAACCCTCCGTAACTCCTTTCAGAGAAGAGTTCAGCAGATAATGAAAGCAGATTTGAGTTCAGCGTCTCATGTTGCGTACAGAAATGTGCACCTCATTTCATTTGGCCGGGTTGGCCTAATGACCTTTCCTGGTAGATTAGAAGATATTTCGAAGAGTGATCCAGTGAATACAATGCTCCACAACCAGATAAGGAATTACGTCAGAATTTGTGGTGGCGACGTTACCAATCAGGTAGTATCGCAGCAATATCTTCTTTGTGAAACGAATAGCTTGTTTCGCATCAATTCTCGACTATTGCAAAGTATAAAGGGAGCAGGGCCCAACGTCGTCCATGGCGCACATTTCATCAGTTGATACCATTACCCGTCACCCTTCAACTATGTCCCTGTCCCACAACATACCACCTTTAATCAGATATGTTTCTGTGTCAATGCAGACGGTGCCATTAACACATTCACGACGACGCCCCTTTTCCACTTTTCGGTCGCGTGGGACGGACGCGATTTTGTGGGCGCCGCCGCCTCACCACATAACCGCAGATTTTGTTTTGTAAATGAACAAAAACATGAATGTCACAAAATAATTTCTGCAATGTCCAATGCGTAAAGATTATCTAAACATATAACAGTAGGGATTTCGATCAGAACGACAAATAGTGGTTACGAAAAGAGAGCATTTATTCACTTTCCCCGTGAAGGAATTTAAAAGCATTTTACACTCGATTACGAGGTTTGCCCACCTATCTGTCCATTCCTAGCGCCTGGCAAGCGATTATCAGTTGGCAGCCCATATGGGCTGCCATCGTCCCAGGAGCGCATGTTGTTGGCAGCCCATATGGGCGGCCATCGGCGTGAATGTGTTAAATTGGTGACACTTGCATATTGACATTCATTATCAGCTCTTATCAGATGTTTCAGTTTTTATCACATAAGTTCCGTCCAACTCCTACATCACTTTTTGGAGCAAGTCTCCATCAGTACTGCATGTCGCGCAGTGAAATTTGCAACTATTCTATTCCGCTTTAACACTATTCGCCCTAACATACTGAAGGAAGCAAGAAAAACAAGTCGAAAATTTTCCGTCAAAAACACCTTCAGTAGCTTTGGAAGAGGTTAGATAACTCAGCATACAGATAGGCACAAGAAGAAGAGTTAGTAAGTAAGAAAATGAGTCCAAAAATAGAACTTCAGGAGACTTTATTCTTGAACCAACGCACATCAGTGCTTAGGTGTGTCTTGTAACTCGAAATAATTTTCAAACTACACTGGTGTGCAAAACTTAAGGACGAGACAGATGAAGTATCATAACCTTTTGATAGCTTTGTGGACCGTTTAACGGTTCCTGTTAACTGCTTTCTTTAGTGCCCTGTGGCAGCTCTTTGTATGTGTGGTTAGGTTCCATAGAGTCATGTTACGCGCCAGTAACACGTCGTTGGAAAAGCTACGTTCGTCCCTAAGTTTTGCACACCAGTGTAGTTAATAGTTTCGGTTAATATTTGAAAAATTTTGCCAACTCACCTGGTTATATAGTTATATATTTCTGAGGTCGATTCTTGCAAGTAAGACACCTTTTAAACCGCGCTCTCAAGCATTGTTAGGCGACTGTATCACACAATAATATAATAAATAGCATTTCTTTGAAGTAACCCATCAGCCTACCGTGACGAAATGTCCATAACTCCTCTTGAAGAATGTGCTCTTCTTTGTCAACCTATTATTCGGCATGCCATTTCTGTCTCATTTGGAACGGTATGGTTTTCTGGTCTGTTGGCGCCACTTCTCGATTCCATTCTTGATCGGGATGGAGGCCAAATAATTTCAGGTTTTCTTGCAGTGAGTCAAGCCAGCGAATTTTATTCTATTATATTTTTGGTGATATTTTCTACCCTTCAGTGAGTACAAACATTCAAATCGACATGAGGCTCTGGTACTGCACAATCCTAGCGTTTCATGAAGGTGTTTAATAGCCATAGCGATGTTTCAAACATTCAATGAGAAAACGTGATCATTATGAACGTGATCATTCGTGATCGTCGCTGCTCGCCAAATTGCGGCCAACAATGGGCCACAAACGGCACCATCAACAAGTCCTCATCAATCTCCCACACCTGCTTATTTTTTATGGAATTGGCGAGTGTGTCCAATCGTGGGATGTCTTTCTAGGCTCACTCATGTAAGCGATTATAGGAAGGCATGGACATCACATCGATAACGACATTGTGGGAGATTGTGGGAGATGAAGAGGTAACGAGCTCTCACTACAGTGAATAGCGGTCAACCATACCGCATAAAAACAGAAGAATTTATTCAAGAAAAGGAAATGACATGAGAGTGATGAAACACGAAATGAACATTGTATGGGAGAATTCAGGGAAACAATCCGAAGTCTCCGCCAAAGCTGCGCGTGAAAAGCATTTCACCACACACGACAAGATTAGCAAAACTTTTCTTTCAGAAAAATAGTGAGCTTTTTGCAAAAAAGATAAGCTATGGATGGCGGGCTGACAGACGACTGATGTGGCAATTCGCTGCGTGCGGTGTGGTGAAATAACATAAGATAATACATATAATACAAAGACAACAATGCTAACATATACATATAATGACACCTATCGGCGCATAACAATTCAAGTATGTTTTAATACAGTTACTCTTTTTCCGTAACTTTAACATTTATACTTTTAACAAGGTCAGCTTCTCTTACACTGCAGGTGACTAATGCAGTGCCGGAGAGGAGTGGAAGTATCTAATTCATGAGGTACTCAGGAAGCGACAGCGTAATGACTCAAAGGAAAATGATGTGAAAAAGAGAATACTCGACTGCAAGATGAGCCAACATACTTCTAGAAACATACAAAGCTAAAAAATTTTCCGGCTGATCTCTGCATCCCCGCTAAACATATCACCGTTGACTTTCAAAAACCAATACAATTGATGTATTTTGTCGATCTTGAAAAACATGAAATCCACTTTCTTGTGAATTCTCGGATATCTTTTAGCAGAAGTGATACGATTATCCCCCAGATGAGTGACTGTTATGTTTGCCGCTTCACTGAGAATTCCCGTGATAAAGACATCTTCGAGCTGGAAAAATGTTCCTAGAGAAAAAAGACTAAAAATTCTTGAACTGCTTTTCACACACGCGTAGAAGCTAGGCGTGTAAAAAAACTAAAGAGTAAGATTTCATTGCTACAGGTAGAACTTTGTGAAGTTTGGATTGTCACTGGAAGTGAAGGTTTGCCTCCATGTCAGCTATTTCGAACATCATTGGTATGATGCTGTCTTGATTGAATCTTATTTGGAATGTTTTGAGCAGTGCTCAAAGCGCGGAGTCTACGATGAAAATCAGTTCATTAGAAAAAGTTAGGAGTGGTCAGTGGTGCAGAGATGAACAAAAATCATGGAAAACTACCTTAAACCTGAAAAATGAGACTCTCTCGTTGACTGTTGAGCTCCTCTTGATGCGACCTCATCGGTGCTGCCCTGTTCCACGATTACACTCACTTTAGCAAACGGCTGAAGTCATATGGTAAGAAGTTACCTATAGACAGGTGCGCCGCGGGTACGGCCCTGCAAGGCCGCTGGGACATACTCCTTCTTTCACATCGCCGCTGCCTTTGCGATGACACATGACTTTCTATTAGGTATATTTCCACTTCTTCAACCTCACACTTTATAGCGGAATCCCCATTCAAAGGCAGTGAATGCAATGAAAAAAGAGTTCACAAAAAAGGGTTAGTCATTAAAAGAAGCTGTAGATCGGCGGAAAAATTTCAAGGTGTGTCGTGTAGGCAGGGCTTAAATTGCAGGACATTCACAGGTACGGGAGGACGAAGCTAACGTTGCCATCTGCGCTCCACATCTATGTGCAGAAAATTTTTTGCAGTGAAGTACAGAATCAAGATCAGCGTTCCAATAAAGACATTCAGTGATGCGAGTACTATTGCAGATACAGGTCATCTCGATAATTGTAAGAATATGAAATATGCGTTCGCAATAGCGTACACATAATTAGCGAGCAGTACCTAAGCTTGCGACGTGGGAGTCCTATTAGATTCTTGGCCATATCCAATCAGAGATCATTTGGAAGCCGAGGCGTTTTGCTAGAAAAAGTGCTGAATGATGTCTGATAGCGGTACGGTTTCACTGAATTTCTCTCCGAGGATTCCACCCCGAACAGCCTACGGAATGTCAACGTGCTCTAAGGCGCTGTAGACAAAGTGATCAAACGGACGGATTTGCTGGAGTAGTTTTATGCGTTCTCTGCCGACAAAATCCTTGGAGGCGACATTGAACTCAGGGAAGCTTTCAATATGATGCGACGTTTCCAGTGGTTTAATAAGCAGATCGAGTTCGTCTACGGCCCACTACGATGGGAATTCTTACCATTAGTCGAAGCTTCAACTTTTTCTTTGGACCTTAACCAGCAGCGACTTCCATATAGAAGTTCAAAAGACTTTGAAACAAAATAGTTTTTAAGAAAAGGAGAAGTAAAGCCTTCAGAGTTTCTTCTTATCTCCTTGAACGTATCTTACTCACCGTAGATTGAGTTAGGACAAAATCGATGCTTGCGCGCACAGCATCCAGAATTACATCCGCCTCACGCAGCTATGAAATTCTCAGTTTTTCTCATTTTTTTGGCATGTAAGTTTGGAGTGTGGTTATGAGTTCTGTGTTACATTTGTGAAGTTCTGTGCAGGTTTGATTCATTTCATTGCCTCAATACTCTTATCCTTCCCCACATTTCTGCAGAACCTTGTTTGAAGGAATCAATCTTTTGCGAGTGCACCTCAGCCTTTTCTAATGTTTGTGGATGCTTTTAACGAACCAAAATGATACCTTGAAGAATTGTTGAGAGGGGGTCATTGACAACAGTTTCTTTGCCGCTTCAATTGGAACCACATAGGCTAGTCCTCTACAGAACGATGGGAGATATGTTTCATTCCATTCGTCTTTTGTCAGTCTCCTAGCAACAAAAAAGGTTAATGCTGCGTCGACCGCTCTGCAACACATGCCAATATCTGGAACAAAACTGGAAAACTGTCACGAAAACTATCTGTGATCTTCGCCTAGGCCTACAGTTATAATTGCCACAAGCACAATTCACATCTTCCACGCTCAGTGGAGCAACTCTATAAAAAGTTGATGTGTAATAGTGAGATAAAAGCTCCGCCTCCATAACTCTAGAAATACGATACCCCTCACGAGGAGAGGCATTGACTTTGAGCCGAGACCTAGACAAATCGATAGAGCCTGGGACAACGGTTAGAACTGCGGAAACCCAAAATTGCAAAACGATTCTGCCAAGGAAGTTACGAGCAGTCGAAGTTGGCTGCAAATGAGTGCTTTTGGATGAGGCTCGCTAGTGTCAGAGAAACTGTGTTGCCGTGGTGTAGTGGTAAGGCTCTCGCTCATCATCACGCAGGTCATGGGTTCGGTTCCCGCTGCTGACGCGTTTTTGCAAATCATGTTTCGTACCCATTAGAGACTTCTATTCTAGTTTTTAACTTATCCGAGCGAGCACCTTGTCAGAACGTGAAGACCGAGTGACAGATATAGTTGTCGCTATGTTCCTGATGAATATCTTCATTGATAATGGTGTATTCTCCCGCGAAGGTAGTTTGGATACTTTTCGCAAAATTCGGAGCAAGAAGATAATAGTCCTGCAACATGCAAAAAGAGAAAGATTGCTGCAAGGTCCGCTTTTATACTTCGTGCATCGCTGGATCGATATTGTAAAGGGGAAAGATTGGAATCGGATGCCCCAAACGAATCGGAGTGGGATTATTGCAATAACGAGGATGAAGACAGCTCGGGCAAGGCAAGGCAGACAAGCCGTGGAGTGGTAGAGGTATCAAATTAGCTCTGTTCTTTTAACTGAACGCTGGGTGTAGAAGAAAGTGCGCACGAAGTTACTTCATCTCAACTCACACAACAAACGTCAATGGTATTAGCATAGCTGTGATTAGGTGCTTATTCAAATAAATGTCAGAAACGAGAATAGAACTCTCTACTGGGTACGGAACATGATTTGCAAAAACGTCACCGCAGCGGGAACCGAACCCATGACCTGCATGATGATGAGCGAGAGCCTTACCACTACACCACGGCAACACAGTTTCTCTGACACTAGCGAGCCTCATCCAAAAGCACTCATTTGCAGCCAACTTCGACTGCTCGTAACTTCCTTGGCAGAATCGTTTTGCAATTTTGGGTTCCGCAGTTCTAACCAGTGTCCCAGGCTCTATCGATATGTCTAGGTCTCGGCTCAAAGTTCCATGGGAAGTTGAATGCCTTCCTGGTTAGGCCCCTAGCCTCATGAGCATAGCAAAAAGAACGGAACATAAGCGTTAGTTTCGATAATACTAATCCTACACACAAGACAAAATGATCACTCTTTCCGTGGAAGATTCCTTTAAGGTATCGTTTTCTGTGGTAATGAGGGCGGAGCTTTTTCCGTGGAGGATTCCTTCAAACATTCACTAGAAAAGAATGGCGCTGGTACGGTGGAGTCGACTTTTACTTGTTACCAAACTTATTAGTACAGATTGCTAGGCCATCTTCGGTCAATGATTTTGAGTGCCATTTCTAAGTATGAATGCTACGCACAGTAGGAAAAAAGTTAATTAACTCAAAAATGCCTCACTTATAACGGGCGGGCAAATGAAATCGAGAGTAAGACGCTCATGAACTTCGCTTGAGTTTGAATGAGCTCTATTTACGGTTCATTTTCCCTGTCGAGATGATAGTTTACTATCGGGCCGGTTCTGAATAAGAAGGGCGGCAGGATCAATGCTGCCGAGAGCCAACTAATCTTCAGTGATGGTTCTCATAGAGTGGTGCGAACAGGAATCACCAGCTAAAAACACCTTTAACCACTGTTGTTTAAGATATAGGACTGATCACTATTCGTAAGGATTATCTCAAAATCCTCACTCCTATAATGCCTCAGACCAAAAGTACCTTCAATGAGAAAACCGGGGCATCAGAGCAAGATCGAGTGCTAAACCGCAATGCGTAGACTGTCCACAAATTGATGCTGACAGAGTATCATGAATTCGTCCTATTGTAAATGGCAACGCGCTTTTCTCAAAACAATTCCTACGAATAACTGAAATTCCGTTCATTAGCATATGTCTTGTTTATGCATCAGCGCAAGAAGTGACCACTCCAAAGGAAACAAAGGGGAGAGGAGATGCATAACAAAGGGCTTGCTTCACAACCTCCTACAATAAGATGGTGTTGCTATTTTGAGGCTCTGGCCGCGGTTTCATGACCAATTTATTTTTCTACCGTAGTTTTGACCCATTCTGTAAACACAAGATGTCTAAGAAATGTGACAGTCAAGTGAGAAACGAAAACTTTCCATGGAAATAGCCTACCATTCGTATGCGCTTGACCGTTCCGGTTGACTGTGAGCGTCTCTGAAAAATGTGAAAATAAATTACTTCTTCTGATTCTGGTACCACGCTCACCGCAGTCCATAAATTTGGTGTTCATCTAGGTGATGCAGCACAAAATCTTCTGCCTGTCTAATGTTCCATCCAACGTCATCATCGACTTTCACAATAGCCATCGCTTGACGGCATGAATAATATACAAACCGTAGTGCACTTAGTACCTAGAGAACCTGCGAGATTTTAATATGTTCTGAGCCTGAACTTGCTTGCACTTCTTTCACCTTGATGTTTCCAACACTATACTGCATATTGTTACATAATTGAACACAAATACCTTACCTTTAGCGTAAGATTTTGATATACGTCATTATACTCTGCCTGAAGAATATCACCGTAAAGTTCATTCTCTAGGAGCAATTTTCGTTGAGTTTCTTGAGACATTGGAAGCCCCACGGCAAACAGCACGCTGTATTTGTACTAAAAATCCAGGTAAAAAAATTTGGCTCACGGCCAAGGGCATAAAAATACAAAACAATATAGTTTCTCCATATATATCTCAACTCGAAATGGGGTGTGTTTCATTTAAATGCATTTAAAAAGCAGTGTCAGCATCCTCATCTAGGGGTGAAGTTTATGATGAAAAAAGACCTACTGGAAATCACGGTACAGGTGTTGAGTGACGCTGCTGAAAATAAACGAGAAAAACTGCCTAAAACCCGAAAGATGTTACCCCTTTCCCGTTGGATTGCGTGGGGTATCTTATTGGTGCTGACTTATCAAGTCGTATCGGCTCTCTCTGCTACGTGGCTAGAGTAAGAGCGAGAGGTTGAGCGGTAACAACGGCGCGGATGACCTGCCCGGCCCCCTGTTACTGGCTGCGAAACGACGATAACATTGTCAAGGGCATCTCTTAAAAGGGTCGGCTGCCTTTCGATCAAGTATATTTCTCTTTTTTGGTTTGAAATACTTAATTTTACTTTTACTTCTATTGTTCGAAATTCCAGACCTTGTATGTTTAGCACAGTTAAAGCCACGAGTCAGGATTAGGCGGTCATAGAAGGCCTTTCCATCACTACTATGGCCAGGACTGCGCTCAGAGGGGTGATGCCACGCTCCTGACTCGAGATTGCGCGGCGAGGCCTCTGGCCTACTACTTACAGTCGGTATCTCGAACTCTGATTGGGCGTGTCACCGGAAATGACGTGGCAGCCACCGCACTTGATAGATGCCACGTGGATAAATACTCCGCCAGATATCAGCAAAGCGTGCTGGAAGCAGCTTATCCGCGCAACTTCTATCAAGTGCGGTGGCTGCCACGTCATTTCCGGTGACACGCCCAATCAGACTTCGAGATTTGGAGTGTACAGCGATGGCTTCATTGCATCAGCCAGGCCGCCCACCGCGGGATGTGGTGCGTGGCTGGCATAACGTGTGAAATCAGCTAGGTTGATTGCCGTATCAACCGATGGAACGGCTGGCATATCCGGAAAACTCGTTTGGACGTGGCTCTCCCCAAGCAAGCCTCCTTCACTGCTAGTGAAGGAGAGGGGTTCGGCCTT